AAGAAGAAGAAGAAGAAGAAGAAGAAGAAGAAGAAGAAGAAGAAGAAGAAGAAGAAGAAGAAGAAGAAGAAGAAGAAGAAGAAGAAGAAATTACAGTACTTGGAGAAAAGAGATTGAAGAGGATTTGAGAAAATGGAAATACATTCCATACTCCTGAATGGGAAGAACCAACATTGTGAAAATGGCCATTCTCCCCAAATTATTACACAGATTCAATGCAAGTCTGATTAAAATATCATTAATATACCTCACGGAGCTAGAGAAAATGTTCCTAAAATTCGTTTAGAACCAGAAGAGACCCAGAATATCAAAAGTGATCCTGGGAAACAAAGGGAAGGCAGGAGGTATCACAATCCTTGACCTAAAATAATGCTACAAAGCTACTGTGATAAAAGGGCCACACATGTTCACTGGAAGAAAGATAGCCTCTTTAACACACAGTGCTGGAAAAACTGGCTTTCCCGATGCCAAAGGCTAAAACTAGACCCATGCCTATCACCATGCACAAAGCTATTCAAAATGAAACAAAGATTTAAATACTAAAACAGAAACACTAAATCTTCCAGAGGAAAATGTAGGTAGAAATCTTAAACACAGAGTTGTAGGTAGAGAGTTCATGAACAAAAACCAAATACACAGGGAATACTTCATAGAATCAACAACTAGGATCTCATCTTTTTGAAAAGTTTCTGCACTTCAAAGCAAATTTCCAACAGAATAAGAAAACTCACAACCTGGGAAAAAATTATAGCCAACTGTCCCTCTGACAAAAGCCTTCTGTCAAGAACATATAAAGAATTTTAAAATATCAGCCTCTCCCAATTCAAAGACCCAATCCAAAAATGGGCATCTGAGATGAATATACACTTCTCAGAGGAAGAAATACAAATGGCAAATAAATATATGAAAAAATGTTCAACATCACTGATCATTCAAGAAATGCAAATTAAAACAACACAGCTTCCATCTCACCCCAAGAAAAAATGACTAACAACAAGAAGTCAGACAATAACAAATGCTAGAGAGGCTGTGTAGAAAAAGGAACTTTCTGCACTGTTAGTGGGAATGCAGACTGGTACAACCAATATGGAAATCAGTGTAGATTCCTTAAGAAGCTAGGATTGGAGATCCCATTCAAGCCAGGTATTCCCCTCCTGAAGAACTGAGAACCGCATACCACAGCGATATATGTGCATCCATGTTTATAGCAGCACAATTTATCATACCTAAATCCTGGAAATAAACTAGATGCCCAACTAAAGAATGGATAAAGAAGATGTGGTACTTTTACACAATGGAGTATTATTCAGCTATAAAACAGGATAAATTTGAGTCTTTTGTTGGCAAATGGATTCAATGAGAGAACATACTTAATCTAATTCTTTTAAATAAAATTATAATTTTCATTGTCCAACAGATGATGTAACTAAAACTTTTTTGTTTTATTTTTTTCTTAACTTTTTTGTTTTAACAGAAATTATACATAATTAAGATTACTGAACTTTATGTCACTTAAGGAAATCTCAAAGTTTTTTTAAGCTTTAACAGATATTTGAAATTTAAAGATAAAAATAAGCAAAATTTATTATCAATTAAAATCTCTCCTGGTTTGGTAATAAACACAATGTAAGGCACTCCATGATACTACTAAAAATCTTTTAGATAATTCAGTGTGTGAATGTCTTTCCTTTCCATAATCCCCAAACACCTACTTTAACCTGTATCAAAATCATCTAAGTCTTTATCAAGGGGTTTCTGGGCTGCACTCCTTGTACTTCTGAGTCAGTCAAGCAGGAATGCAGTCCACAGTGTCTGTCTCACAAGTTACTGATGACTCTGCTGTTGCTAATCCAGGGACTAAACATGGAGAACCATTGGCACTTAATTAACTACAATTTCTCCTCCTTGCTTTCAGAAAACTAGATAGCACTACTCTGCACATTTTGTTTGTATTCTTTGTTCCATTTTCGTCCCCATTCTACCACAAATTCTTCTATTTCCGGCACTTATAGTCTCTCTCCTATGTCCCCACTGCTCTTTCTGCCTTTTATGTCCAGATATCTTTTTGAAAAATACGAATACCACATCTAGCTACCACCTTATGACTCCCACACATCTGTGTATTGCTTAATTTCTAGGTAAAGTAAGCTTGATCCAAGACCTCTACATTCTCCTCTTGGTCTCCATTATTCAGATCATCTAATCAGTTAAAAGCCTGTGCAGGATAGGCATATTTGTCTTGAGTAAATTATCATAAGATTCTTGATAAAAAGCATGAGCAGAATACAAAGAAACCATAATAAGGCAGTAAGCTTGACCTCACTTGGATCTGAATGGAGAGGAAAGGCAGCAAAACAGAACCTGGACAGGAGTGCTCTATCAGGAGTGTCTGGCAGAGGTAGGGAGCAAAAATAAATAAATGCAAGCTTCATTTTCTTTGCCTCCTGTTAGTTAATATCCTGCTAGGGCTCCAACATGACTACAACAGTCAGATACTAGAGAGAAAAGGGGCGGTTAATGAAGTCCTGGAGCTCAACCCACAGAACACAGTAGTGTGGCGAAAAATGGAGAATGAGATCCAAGGGACAAATAGGATACATTCAACACAGTACAGTCCCTGGGTTCCTAAGCTTTTTTTTGTTTTGGGTTTAGGTAAAAAAAAAATTGGTGGTGTCAACACAGGAAACATACAAAGTCCTATAAGGTACAAACTGGTTTTTAAGTGGTGATGTCAATTATTTTTCTCATGGTCTTCTCATGCACAAATGGAACATTCTCTAAGATAAATGACATGCTAGATTATAAAACACATCTCAATAAATTTTAAATGACTCAAATAATAGAAAATGTTCTCAAACTTAACAAAATAAAATTAGAAAAAGACAAAAGACTTTTTCACGTATTTTCAAATATGTGAAAATTAAACAATACATTTAAATAATCCATGGTTCAAAGAAGAAATAAAAAGGAAATTAAAAGTATTTTAAAGTGAGTATGAAAACAAAACAAAAATTTATAGGATGCATGTAAAGCACTGCTTAAGTGGAACTCTCTAGCTCTAAAATGTTCAGATTTGGGAAGAAGAAAAATCTCAAATCAATAATCAAAGTTTAGGGGCTGGTGAGATGGCTCAGTGGTCTAAAGCACCTACTTAGAACAAGCTTAGCAAAAAACAGGGACCGCGGTTCAATCCCCCAGCACCACATGCCAGCCAGCCCCGCCCCCTGGTGGGCTGAGCTGGCCACACACACACGCACACACACACAAAATTTAAAAAAATAAAAAATAATCAAAGTTTAGGGCCAGGGAGATGGCTCAGTGGAATAAGTGCTTCCCCGGCAAGTGCAAGGGCCTGAGTTCAATCCCCAGTTCCACAAAAAAAAAAAAAAAAAAAAAAAAAAAAAAAAAAAAAAAAAAAAAAAAAAAAAAAAAAAAAAAAAAAATCAAAGTTTAAATACCTAGAACAAGAACAGCATATTTAGCTAACACAAATAGGAGATAAAGAAATAAACAAAAGATCAGAGCAGAACCAGTGAAAAAGGAACAGCAATAAAGAAAAACAATGAACCCCAATGCTGGTTCTTTCAAGAGCTCTACATGGATATGACAGAGAACAG